TAAAAAAAAAAAAAGAAAGAAAGAAAGAAAGAAGGAAAAAAGGGGGTGGTGGGGGGGGAGGCTGTGTTTTTTTCTGTATTAAACTTGTGCTTCGCGCAGATACCACCAGCGGCGCTGCCATCCCCTCTCACCCCATTAGGCTGAGGTTGAGGGTTGTGATAACAAGGCAGGATTTAAAAATAGATAAACCTATCTGGAAAACAATAGTGCACGTGGACGACATCTTCCCACCTGCGTGCTCCTAGCCTGGGAGACGGTGGGATATGTTCCAGGCTCCTCGTGCGTCACCGGCTCCCAGGGCTGCGTGAGGATACCATTGCCCACTCGGACTCGACCTTATTAACCCCAGCTTCAGGAGGGTTTGGCTCAGAAACCGGTCCAGAAAGGCGGCTAAGACTTGGTTCATTATCCGCGCTGGAAGTAATGCAACATCTGAATAATAACTCTCTCTTTAAAAGTAGCTCTGGAGCTCTTAATGAGCATAACTGCTTAGCACGTGCAATTTGTTTCCAGTCGTTGAAGTCATTTGTTTCTCATTTTCCCTTGGTCATGTGCAACAGTAACTTTAATTTGTAGTCAAAAATGAAATAGTAACTAATTTGTGGTTATAAAGTTGTTTCTGGTTTGTTGAGTTTACATTTTTTTTTTTTTACTATTGTTAAAAAGGAAGAAATTCCTGTTCTGATTATTAGTCTGATCATTTCGTGATGGATTATTTTAATGAACGATCCTGGTTATTGACAACTTGGTTTACTTTGTAGAAATATGGGATAGTCTCATATTCCATTTCATCTGCTGTCACTTAAAATTCAGTACAACTGGCCTATTAACTTTCAGGGTTTTGTTTGTTTGTTTGTTTTTTCCCAGATGATATGGTTACATTTTGAGGATAATGTTTTTCCTTCCAGAAGTCTTCCTTCAGTTAGGAATGAGCTTGCTTCTATGTTGCAGAAAAATCAAGTTACTCTGTTTTTTCAGCATCTGACGTTTTGGCTGTTTATTTTCTATTTGCTCATTCATTTTATGGCTCGTTTCATATTAACTGGTTCTCTGGTTACAAGACATTGTCTCCTTAGCTCACACTGCTCTTTCGTGACACTTCATGTTGCCATGTCACTTTCATCTTCTGACATTCATAAGGTTGCTGTAGTAATTTAAACCTGCTAGTATTTTTTAGTACTCATTCATTGTGTCATACAATTAGAAACGTTTTTCATTTTTTGTAAGTGGATGTACTCAGAGGACAGTGGTTATTCCAGTTCATAAAAAGCTTCTGGTTAGGTCTAAAGAATGCTTGGTTGTACGCATATGTTTGCTTATGCTCTTGCTCTGTTTTTGATGGCTGTGTGGCACTATAAGTGCGTCTGACCTTTTACCTTTCCATTTGTGTCCAGCTGGCTTTCCTCTTCTCAAGAAAAGCTTTATATCTTAGAGTGCTTTTTTTTTTTTTTTTCCTACTTATGCTTCTTTCTTTTTTCTTATAGAGAGGTTTTTGCTTATAGGGCACATGTGCTTGCTGGAGACAGAGAGAAACAGGAGAAAGCCAGAAATCACTGTCCCCTCCCCCAGGGGGATGGCCATGCTGCAATCCTGTCTCCTCCATTCTCCTCTCCGGATTTTGGGCATACATGCACATGTGCCCAATGTGAGTTTTAAGCTGCTAGGGCCAGGACTCAAACTGCAGTCGACTGTGTGGGAGTCCAGTGATGTAAGCATTATGCCATCTGCTGGTCCCCACTTTTGCTTCCTTCTATGTAATAGTGATTTTTGAAATAATATTTCCCATGCTCTCTACCTATATCAAAAAGTTCCTAGACTCATATTTGTAATCTTATGATCATCTTTCTTTTCAAATCTGTTATTTCCAATGTTTGGAAATAAGGTTTTTATTTTCAAATGTATATTTCATATTTGATAACATCATAATTAAAAAAAAAATTAAATCCTTGGGACCAGCAGTTAGTGTAATGGCTATGTTGCTGAACTCCCATGTAGCCAACCGTGGTTCGAGTCCCAGACCTGGTGGCTTAAACTCATGCCGGGCACATGTGCGTGTATGCCCAAGATCCTGAGAGGAGAATGGAGGAGAAGGGATAGCAGTGTGGCCATCCTCCCTGGGGGGTGATTTCTTGCTTTCTGTCTCTCTGTCTCTCTCTGTCTTTTTGGTGAGCGCATGCGCCCTATAGCAAAAACCTCTCCAAAAAAAAAAATTAAATCCTGTTTGTTTTCCATTGCTTTTTTTCCCCTTTAATATTTCTTTTCCTTCTATGTTAGTAACACTTCTTCATTTGAGTTATATAATTAAAATAATTTCTGAATATAGTCTTAGATAATATAACCAAGGTAATTTATTTGATTTCATTGACTGTTGTAAAATTGGGTACTGAATTCAATTCTTTTTTTTTTTCCCTTTTTTGAGCCCTTGCTTTATTCTAGACATTATGCTAGCCTCAGTGAAGGGTTTTACAATATTTGAATGGTGTTTATTGTACATCAAAGGAATTTGGGGTAACTAGAAATCCACAGTAGTCTGAAAGAAAATAGATGATTAATTATACGGAAGTTTCTGAGAATCTACTCTTGAATGGTTAAAATGTGGCATTGGGCCAGCACGTGGTATACAGGTTAAGATGCTAGACCCAACATGGCTGGCTGCAAGGCTCAAGTCTCAGACCCTGCAACTTGAGAGTCATGTGGGATGCTTGCGTGTACATGCCCAAAATCCTGAGAGGGGAAAGGACTGAAGCATATCCATCCCTCCTGAGGTTGGGGAGTTAATGATTTCTCTTTTGGCAAGTACATGTGCCCTATAGCAAAAACTTAAAAAAAAAAAAAAAGTGGTCTTAAAGATAGAGAAGAAGATTTTCTACTTAGTCAATATGTATTGAACAATTGCTGTATGTCTCTTTTTATTCATTCATTCAACATGATACTGAATAAATAGCTCTATCCTTATGGATGTGAGTCTAACATGTAGACAGACACACATGGAGAGAGAGAAAAGTAAGTTCAATAACCAGCAGAGGTCGTTCATACAGGCTCTTGCAAGTCAGTGTAAGAATATATGAAGCATTGTCAGAATGGCATGTAGTTTTTTCATAGGAGGGAGAAATTACTAGATAGTCAAAAAAGTCTTCATGCCTCTACTGTGCTGCTACATATTAATATGATAATTGATTTGAGTAGTAAATTTATTTTGGAAATAACATTTAATGTTTAAATTAATGTAATTTTATGTATTTATTTTTCATGTTTTTGCCATAGGACGTGGGCTCTTGCTAGAGAGAAACAGAGACAGTGAGAGGGAAAAGTGAGAAATCACTTCCTGAGGGATGTGGCCATACCTCAATCCCTTCTCCAGTCTCCTCTTTTGGGTACATGCAGTGCACGCGCGCGCACACACACACACACACACACAGAGCTAGTTTGATTTTCAAGCCATCAGGTCTAGGATTTGAACCATGGTTGCCCATGTGGGAGTCCAATGCTTTAATCACCATGCAACCTACTGGCCTCTTAATTGATGGGATTTTTAAAATAGAAGGAAAATAAGAATTTCAAAGCCAGGGGTGGTAAATATTTATTAAATGTATTTAGCCAGATTTCATTTTATGGACAAACAAACAAACAAAACAAAACAAGCAAACAAAACAAAAACAAAAATATCCCCAGAGCTCAAAGAAGATAACTTGCTCATTGTCTTCATGTGTAATGGTATACAATTGGTGTTAGAGTGTAATTCTCCTGAGTCCTTGTCCATTGCCGGTGAAACTGTATGTACTCCCTGGTTGTCTCTCTCTCTCCCCCTCCCTCCTTTTCTTTTCTTTTCTTTTCTTTTCTTTTCTTTTCTTTTCTTTTCTTTTCTTTTCTTTTCTTTTCTTTTCTTTTCTTTTCTTTTCTTTTCTTTTCTTTTCTTTTCTTTTCTTTTCTTTTCTTTTCTTTTCTTTTCTTTTCTTTTCTTTTCTTTTCTTTTCTTTTCTTTTCTTTTCTTTTCTTTTCTTTTCTTTTCTTTTCTTTTCTTTTCTTTTCTTTTCTTTTCTTTTCTTTTCTTTTCTTTTCTTTTCTTCTTTAATGGCTAGAGAGTGCATCTGCTTACCAGAGAGAGGAAAGAGAGAAGGCATACCATCGTCTCTTCTCCTCCATTTCTCCTTATTGTTGGAATTTTGGCCAGGCACACCCATGTGCCTGGGGTTTTTTTCAAGTTGCTGGAGCTGAGATTTGAACTACATTTGGCCATGTATCCTACTAGCCATAAGGCCAGGCCAACTGAGGGCATCTGAAAGGGCATCTGAAACCATTTAGTTCCAGGTAAGCTGTTAGGTGACTGAACATTTAGAAGAAAAAAGTGTTGCCCCACCAAGTCTAGCTCGGTTAACAGAATCGTGAGCAAATAACTGTTATTTTAAGCCACTGTATTTTGGGCTTGTTATATAGAAAAAGATAACTGCGGGAACCAGCAGTTAGCGTAATGGCTATGTCGCTGGACTCCCACGTAGTTGATCGTGGTTCGTGTCCTGGACCCGGTGGCTTAAAACTCACGCCGGGCGCGTGTGCGTGCGTGCCCAAGATCCCGAGAGGAGAATGGAGGAGAAGGGATTGCGGCGTGACCATCCCCCCTGGGGGGTGATTTCTCGCTTTCTGTCTCTCTGTCTCTCTCTGTCTGTCTGGCGAGCGCACGCGCCCTACAGTGAAAACCTCTCCAAAAAAAAAAGAAAAGAAAGAGATAACTGAAAGGGTGGTAAGTAAAATAGTGGTGCATCTTACAACAGATGGTATCTTAAGTTGATGAGATATAATAAACAGCTTGATACATGTTTTTTTAAAATATTAACCCAAGGAAAAGGGAGCTGGAACTCCTTTTTCATGAATGTAAGTTGATATGAATGTAAAATAACACAGACTGTGATCACTATGTCCCAGGGTAATGTGGAAAGATAGTCTGTCCCTTTCTAGTACTATCAATCTCCATACTCAGAATTTTATTTATTTATTTATTTTATTTTTAGAGTGATTTTTTGCTCTAGTGCATGTGCACTCACTGGTGACAGAGAGAGAGTGAGAAATCACCCCCCAGGTGGGACATGCCACAGTCCTTTTTCTGTCCTTGGGATTTTGAGTGCACTTGCACATGCGCACAATGTGAGTTTGAAGCTGCTAGGTCCAGGACTCGACCCACAAGCAACCACGTGGGAGTCCAGCAACACAACCATTACGCCATCTGCCAGACCCAGAATTTTAAATGGGCAAGGAACAACATCCACTTATAAATATAACCACAGGTGTAGATGAAAGAAGGTGTGTAACATTCTTGATATTACAAAATGAAAACAATGAAAAGAAAGTAGTGCTATGGTCTGAACGTTTTGTATTCCCCCAAAAATCACATATTAAAACCTAATCACCAGGTCCAGGAGGTGGTGTGACTTGGTGGTTAAGGCCCTGATTGATCTCATCAACACACAAAATGGCTGACTGCAGTTCAAGCTCCGGACCTGGCAGCTTGCTTTCTCACTTTATCTCTCTCTCTCTCTCGTCAAATTAAAAAATAATAGTAACAATAAATAAAACTAAATAAAAAATTTTAAAAAGTCCTGATCACTAAAGTGATAATTTTAGAAGGTGGAGGGGGGTCTTTGGGAGGCGATTAGATTATTAAAATCTGCTCTCATGAATGGGATAAATGCCCCCCGGGAGTCTCCCCGCCTTCTGCCGTATGAGGACACACAGGAGGTGCTGTCTGTGAGAAACAGGCCCTCATCAGATACCAAATGTGCTGACACCTAGATCTCGGACTTCCTTCCTAACTTTCCCAGCAGTTCATTTCCATTGTTTATAAATTGTCCATTGTACGATACTTGCTTTAATAGCCTGAGCAAACTAAAACGAATAAATAACATCCTTGAATTCTGGGACCCAATTTAATGAGAAGCTTTTTAATTTTCAACTTCAACTAACCTCTTAGGAGGCTACTGAAATTACTGTGACATAAAAGACCACATGAGCCATCTGGTGGTGAGGCGGTTAAGGCATCTGGATTCCACGTGACTGACTATGAGATTTGGAGTCCTGGACCCAGCAGCTTGAAAACCACACTGGGTGTGTGCATGTGTGTAGAAAATCCCAAGAGGAGAATGGAGGAGAGGGGATTGCAGCATGGCCATCCCCCCAGAGGGAGTGCTTTATTACTTCCTCCATCCCCTTCCCTCATTCTGCTCCTACAGGGGCATATGACCTATAGCAAATTTTTAAAAATAATAAAAAGATAGCACAAGTGAGAATGCTGAATTGTTGGCCATTTCTAAACAATTTAAATAGAGTATACTTTTATTTTGAACTATTTGTCTTTTTTAATTCCTGAGTTATAAGAGATTTTTATATATTCTGAGTAAAAGTCCTTTATCCGGTTTGATTCGCAGACATTTCCTCTCATTTTGTGGGTTGTCTTTAGTTGATAATGTCCTTTAAAGCACAAAAGTTGTAGGACTAGCTGGTGGCGGGGTGAATCCCATGTGGCTGACTGTGCATTTTGAGTCCCAGGCCTGGAGGCTTGAAAAACACACAGGGAGTGTGTGTGCCTAAAATCCCCAAAGGAGAATTGGAGAAGGGATTGCACATGTCCACTCTCCAGAGAGGGTACTTTTTCACTTTCCTTCTCTCTCTCTGGCAAGTGCAAACATTCCCTGGCAAATTAAAGAAAGAAAAAACCAAGAGTTTTACATTTTGATCAAGTCCAGATTATCTATTTTTTGTTCGTGCATTAGTGTCATTCTAAAAATCCTTTGCCAAATTCAAAGTAATGAAAATATCCCTATGTTTTCTTCTAACAGTTTATAGTCCTGGCTCTTACATTTAGGGTTATGATTCATGCCGAGTTAATTTCTGTACACGGTATGAGATAAGGTCCAACTATCCTCTGTATGTGGATGTCCAGTTGTTTGAACACCATCTGTTGAAAAGACTCCTTAGGGACCAGCAGTTAGCGTAATGGCTATGTCGCTGGACTCCCACGTAGTCGACACAGTTCGAGTCTCGGACCCAGTGACTTAAAACTCACGCTGGGCACGTGTGCGTATGTGCCCAAGATCCCGAGAGGAGAATGGAGGAGAAGGGATTGCGGCATGGCCATCCCCCCGGGGGGTGATTTCTCACTTTCTGTCTCTCTGTCTCTCTCTGTCTTTTTGGTGAGTGCCAAAAAACAAAAAAAAAAAAAAAAAAAAGACTGTCCTTTCTGCATTGAAAGATCTTGGCACACTTGTCAAAAACTCTCAGTATTCTTTCTTAATCTATGTTCTTCCAAAACAGATTAACTATTTTATCTATAAAAACCCTTATATTTCATGAAGAAAAGGCTCCCAAATACCTGGTGAGTGTTCCCAGAGTATATATTAACTTGACCAGCTTCTAAAATTGCCAGAGCTAGCGTTGCAACTGTTTTAAAGTCCTAGACTATTTTAATGCACACACACACACACACACACACACACCAAATTGGTAGTTAAAGCAGCTCAGTCCTACATGGAGGCATGGATGCACCTGGAAGGAGGAATAGAGGATATTGCTGCATGACCATCCCCACTGGGGATGCTTTCTCACTTTCTGTCTGTATCTTTCCAGTGAGCACACATGCACTCAAGCAAAATAAAGCCAAAGGGTCCAGCAGATGGTGCAGCAATTACGTCACTGGACTCCCACATGTCAAACTGCAGTTCAAGTCCTGGACCTGGTGGCTTAAACTCACACTGGGCACGTGTGTGTGCGTGCCCAAGATCCTGAGAGGAGAATGGAGGAGAAGGGATTGCAGTGTGGCCATCCCCCCTGGGGTGATTTGTTACTTCCCTCTCACTGTCTCTGTCTCTCTCCAGCGAGCACACACACACCCTAAAGCAAAATCCTCTCCAAACCAGACAAAAAATCACCAGCGTATGAACAGGTTTTATACTTGTTTTGGAAGTAACTATGAGCATATTATGCATGTTACCAACTTAGTACTTTTCTTTTCCTTGAAATAAATAATTTCCTAAAAGAAACATCCAGGGCCAGCTGTTGACATGGTGATTGAGGTGGCTAATTGCACATGGCTGACTGTGAGGGTTGGAGTCCCAGACCCTGTGACTTGAAAAACCACACCTGAGGGGCTGGCAGGTGGAATGGTGGTTAAGGGTGCTGGACTCCCACATGACCGACTGAGGTTTAAGTCCCAGATATGGTGGCTTGCTTTCTCACTTTCTCTCTCTCTCTCTGTTCTTCTCTGGTCAAATTAAAATAAGAAAGTAAGAAAGTAAGTAAGAAAGAAAATAATAATTCTTAAAACAAAAAACAAAAAACACGCCTGGTGCTCACTTCGGCAGCACATATACTAAAATTGGAATGATCCAGGGATTAGCATGGCGCCTGCACAGGGATGACACGCAAATTCATGGTGCAGCCAAAAAAAAAAAAAAGAAAGCAAAAGAAAAGAAAGAAAGCCACAGTGAAAATGCACAATGGGATAATGGGATGCTGGCTAAAGTTTTGACATGTCACACTCAATTGGATAACTCCTATTCATAGCACGAGTTGGCCTGGTGTTTAATCCTGCAATTTTGTACAGCTCCTTAGTCCAAGAGTCCCGGCTTCTACTTTGGTGTCCATCGTCCAGCTGCCTGATTGTGTGCTGCCATCAAATGAAATGGACATTAAGAGGCCAACACATTTGCCACTGCCACATTCCTTTTTTTTTAATTACTTTATTCTATTTATTCTTAAGTTTTGTCATAGGGTATATACACTAGCTAGAGAGGCAACGTAAGTGAGCAAGAGAAAAGCAATATACCCTGGGGGATAGTCACTCCACAATCCCTTCTTCTCTAACCTTCTCTTGGGATTTTGGTCATGCATGTACATGGACACGGTATGTTTTCCAAGCTGCCATGTTTGGGACTTGTGCTGCACAGTTGGCCATGTGGGATCCAGCTACCTTAATTAACCACCACACCAGTGACTGACTTGCCCTTGCTTTAATAACATTGATAAGTCTCTGAATCTGAGTCCGCAGATCTGCAAATTTTTCCAGTAGACATCTGATAGAGGCTTACTTCCACTCCAAGCTCCCTCGAAACTTATTTTAAAAATTAAAATAAGGATCCAGCAAGTGGTATGATAGACAAGACACTGGACTTCCACATGGCCAACTGAGGTTTAAGTCCCAGATATGGTGGCTTGCTTTCTCACTTTCTCTCTCTCTCTCTGTTCTTCTCTGGTCAAATTAAAATAAGAAAGTAAGAAAGTAAGTAAGAAAGAAAATAATAATTCTTAAAACAAAAAACAAAAAACACGCCTGGTGCTCACTTCGGCAGCACATATACTAAAATTGGAATGATCCAGGGATTAGCATGGCGCCTGCACAGGGATGACACGCAAATTCATGGTGCAGCCCATATTAAAAAAGAAAAGACAAAACATGCCTGGTGCATGTGCCCAAAATCCCAAGAGGAGAACAGAGGAGAAGGGATTGCAGTGTGGCCATCCCCCCTGGGGTGGATGCATATGGCTTCTCACTTTCCCTCTCTTTCTGTGAGGGCATGTGCCCTGTGGCAAAATTAAAACAACAACAAAAACAAACAAACAAACCAACAACAACAAAAACTTTCATGAATTTTACAAAATACAGATGAATTACAGAATATATCTTTTCATGTAGGAAAAATACTAGAACTTCAAACTCATAAAAGAAGGGATAAGTATATACTATAAAATGGTGTGCATTTTGCGTGTTGATGAGATCAATCAGGAAGATTTGTAATAGTTATACTCTTCTTCTTCTTTTTCTTCTTCTTCTTCTTCTTTTGCATGAGAGAGAAAGAAGGAAAAAACATGCTGAAAGGAGAGAGTAAGAAAGGGAGGGTTTTTTGTTTTTGTTTTTAGAGGTTTTTGCTATAGGGCACATGCACTCACCAGAAAGACAGAGAGAGGTAGAGAGACAGAAAGTGAGAGAACACCAGCAGTTAGTGTAATGGCTATGTCGTTGAACTCCCATGTAGCTGACTGTGGTTCGAGTCCCAGACCCGGTGGCTTAAACTCACGCTGGGCACGTGTGCGTGCATGCCCAAGATCCCAAGAGGAGAATGGAGGAGAAGGGGTTGTGGCATGGCCATCCCCCCTGGGGGGTGATTTCTCGCTTTCTGTCTCTCCGTCTCTTTGTCTTTCTGGCGAGTGCACATGCCCTATAGCAAAAAACCTCTCCAAAAAAAAAAAAAAAAAAAAAGAAAGCGAGAAATCACCCCCCAGGGGGAATGGCCATGCCGCAATCCCTTCTCCACCATTCTCCTCTCGGGATCTTGGGCACGCATGCACACGCGTCCAACGTGAGTTTAAGCCACTCGGTCTGGGACTCAATCTGTAGTCGACTACGTGGGAGTCCAGCGACATAGCCATTATGCCAACTGCTGGTCCCAAGGGTGGGGGTTTTGACAGTGTCTTGTCACGTCAGGATCCTCCTGCTTCAAACTCTGAGTTAGCAAGAATCACAGTGCGTGCCACTGCACCTGGCCCATTTAGGTTCAGCTGGGAACTAAGCCTGGCCCAACCTATATGGCCTCAGCCACTGTGCAGTGCAATTCTTCCACTTGTGCCACCACAGCTGTACCTACACTTAGAATTTTTTTTAAAAAAGATTATTTAATTCATCTTATTTATTTACTCATTTGTTTTTTATTTGATCAGAGAGACAGAGAGGGAAAGTGAGAAACCAGGCTGCCAGGTCTGGGACTCGAACCATCGAACCATGGTCAGCCATGTAGGAGTCCAGCACCTTAACTTCCATGCCACCTGCCAGCCCCCTACACTAATAATTTTAACTTGACTGATAGTAGAAGAAAACACAAATAAGATACTTGAAAATAAGTGCTATATGAAGCTATCAGATTTTTGCTCATCAAATACAGTGAAAATAATGCATATTATAGAGATATTATACACATGAAGTTCTGCAAGTTCCCCTTTCTCCAAGAGGCAGTGAGCAGTGCTGAGGTGTGTACATGCTAGTGGCAGTTAGATCCTCATGGTAATTTGGAGCGTGTGGAGAGTGGTGGCCAATGAAGGCAGTAGGTATTGGAAAAAGAGCATCAGAAGTGTTGGTCAGTGATTGTCAGGGGCTGGTATTCTAAGTATAATTTACCACCACTTGGTAATTTTTCTAGATGTTCATGTTTGTTTTGGTTTTTTTTTTGGAGAGGTCTTCTTTTTTTTTTTTTTTTTTTTTTTTTTTTTTTTATGGGCGGCGCC